GAATACTGTTTGACGTCTTCGGCAATAGACTATTGCCGAAGACGCCAACCAGTATTATAGTGCTGCTGCGCGCACAACACATCCGTGGAAACATACTTGACACCCGCACTAAAAGCCCCACCCCTTGTTCGACGAACGCGAGGAGGAAAGGGGAGAGGAGAGGGAAGACGAGTATACATGATTTTCCTTTGAATCGGAAATACAACTCGGTAGTCTAGACATCGCGATCAATAACAAGCGACATTAACACGTAAGTGCAAACGTGAGTTCCCCCACGACTACTAGCTTAGACTCACGAAAAACGGACCACGCGTCTTGCACCACTACTCCAAGATGATCAGGGCTGTAGGACAGGGTGGCTACTTAACGCGCGTCCGCTATGACTCGCACTGCAAAGGCGATGACACCCTCGTCTGAATCGAATTCTGTCGCCGGAATTGCGGCGGGGGGCGCGGCGCTGTCTGGGCCCCGAAGGCCGCTGTCACAATCGACATTACCGTCTTCGACATTTTTGGGGTACTTCGTTATGTTGGATGCCGACCTTCTTGTCTGCCATATGTTTTTCTGTCTGTCTGAGCGAGGCATGCGTTGGTGGTGCTTGTTGCGCGCCCGCCTGAGCCGGCGTTGGAAATGGCGGAAATGGCAGTAAACCATCGCGCTCGAGCCCAGAAGGCGAGAGGGGGGAGATCGATCTTCTGCGATGAACGTAACTCGTTTGTCGGGACGTTGTCGCGCATTGCGCCCGTGGCCGAGCGTGGCCGGGGCCGCGGGCCCCCCGCGCTATCGCGCACGCGCGTTTCGGGCCCCTGGCGGCACCGGCGCTGTCCAGCCGCACCCCGTCGGCGGACCCTTGGCTCGCGCATCTTAGATCACTTGTTCTGCGCCAAGGTCGCAGGTTGCTCGACGGACAACCCCGCCCCACGCGGGTCCGTTGATAGGCGTCTGCACGCGCGCATTGGCGCGCTTGTTCTCCTAGGCGGGCGAATCCACTCAAGTGGATATCCGCCCTGTCTAGTCGCGTCGGGTTCGATGTGCCCAGTTGGCCCAGAAAGCGCGCAATGAGGACTGCCGCTGGTTTCGCCGACCATTCGGCGCGTCGTTGGTCGTGCCCGCGCCAATCCAGCTCGCGTTCCGCATCAGCTGCGCACATGCATCGCCGTGAGTTGACTGGTAGTCGCCTAAGACATGTAATACATATCTGTACATCTGATCCACTGGGTGACTTACTGACACGATCGAACACGGCACCGACACGGCATAGACGCATCCCGATAGCTCGGACACGCAGGTCCCCAAGCACTAAGTGACCCCAGTTTCCAAATGCACCCGGGAGGTCCCGCCAGAATGACCAGCATCCTGAGAACCCGAGCTTTCGTTAGCAGTTTGGGCATTCTCTCATTGCGCGGCCCCGCCCGCTTGCCCCACATCCGCGCGTGCCAGTCAGCGGGCGTGGCCACCCGAAGCAGCTGGCAACCCCTTGTCAGTGAGAAGCCTGAGTACCGCGCACCGGCAGACGCCAGTTACACAATATTCATTGTGTGCCATGCGATCGGGCAGGCAGCCTGCGCGGCAGAGTTCGGCGGCGGCCGCCCCGACATCTCCTGCCGCGTGCGCCCCAGCGTGAAACTAGGCGGCGTCCGCGGCGAAGCCAGGGGCCGTGCTTGGCGAGCCCCGTAGAGAGCCGGCGATCGGAGCAAGCCAGCGCGGCCGCAGCTCCGACCCGCCTCCGCTAAAACTGGCCGACGAGCGGCAGGGGGCTCAGGAGCTCGCTGCCCAGGAAGGCCCCCCCCCATTGGGCTCGTCGGGGCCGCCCCATCGCAGGGCGCGCCAGCGAATAAAGCGCTGCCTGAGACACGTTTGGGGCCGTTCCTTCCCCCAACCTGAACGCGGCGAAGCCGTCGCGCCCGCGCGGGGCGCCCCTGCCCCCTCGAGGTCGAAGTCGACGGCGCGAAAGCGCCAGTGCCGGATGCTGGCGCCGCCCCGAGGCGCCGCGAAAAAGTCGCGCAAGCGTTGAGGGCCACGGCCAAAATGGCACCCTCGTCGGCGCGCGGCCCGGCTGCGGCGGCATCGAGAAGACCTCCACGGCGCCGAACCGCGCGCGCAGCCGTCAGTGCCGCTGTCGCTCGGCTGGCGGCGCCGCGTAGACGTCGGGCTCACTCGACGCGTGTGCCTCGGCCTCCTCCGCCCGCGCTTGTTCCTGCGCCGGCGCGCGCGCCTCGTGCTGCCTCTCTAGCTCCTCTTCGTCCTGGGCCGCGCGGGCCTGCTGCGCCGCGCGCTCGATCTCGTCGCCCCTGCGGCGCGCGAGCGACTCCCCTGACTCCGCCCCCGCCAGCGGCGGCCAGTTCAACCGCGCGTCGCTCGCGCGGAACGCCCGGTCGTCGTCGCGACCCACATGGCTGGCCTCCTCCGCCGCGATCCACCGCGCGCGGTTCGCTCGCATCTCGGCCCTCATCTGGGCTCTCTCCCCCGCCCAGCCTGCCGCGCCGACGCGCGCCCCCTTGCCTCGCGCTCGCACTCGCGCGGGCGCCTCTCCTACCGTTGCCGGGCCCTCGCCTCCCTCCTCGCACCGCCCCTGTTCGAGCATCGCCTGGCGCCTCCTGAACCGCTTGCCGACCAGGTCCTCGAACTCCCCGATCTCCCGCAGATCGCGCTCCCGAGTCCGCCTCGCCCCCCAATCGAGCCCCGGCCCGGGGCGGCCGGCGCCCGCGCGCGCGCCCAGCGTCGCGCGACACATCTCGGCACCAGCGCGTCATCCTGGTGGGCAGCGGCGCTCGCCGGCGCTGCCCGCGTCGCCGCGCCTGCTGCCCCTCCTCTGACGGCGGCGCTGCTGGCGGTCTCATGCAGGAGGGCTTGCGACCTCTGCGGCAGGCTGGGCGGCTGCCCCGGGGAGTCGGTCTCACAGCGCGCCCCGATGTTGCCCCCCAGCGCCTCTGCGAGTCCTCCGCCATGCTTCGATCCGCCTTCTGTCGCCTCGACGCGAGGGGAAGGTCGGCGCGTCCTCGAGCTGGTCTTCCTCGCCATCAGAATTGCGCCGTTGGTCCTCCTCCTCCAGGGGCTGCCTGCCCTCCGCTGGCGCAGCTTCTGCCGCGCCCCCCTCCTCCGCGCGGCCGAGGGAGAAGGTCGGCATGTCCTCGAGCTCGTCCGCCAATGCTCGGCGCGCCGTCTCTCCTCCTCTCGGGCGCGCGCTCCTCCTCGGCCCCCGGCTTCTTCTGCCCCCCAGGGGTCTGGGCATCGCTCCGCGGTGCCTCCCCCCGCAGCTCTGGGCGCCTCTCCCGCGGCCCCCCCTCGTGAACCAGACGCCCCCCCCTGCGCACATGCCTGAGCATGATCCCCCCGCCCTCCCCCATCGGCCATCACTTGGGCCCGCTCGGGGTCTGCCCCCCGCTTTCCTTCGCCCCCCGCGGGCCCCCAGCGCTGGCGCGAGCTAGCCGCCCCGGTAGAGGGCCGCCGCGCTGGCGCCCCCTATCGGGGGCGATAGCGCGGGGGCTTGGGCGGGGCCGCCCTCTTCTGGCGCCGCCTGGGTTCCATCCTCCATGCCGTGCGCCGCGTCTTCCTCCATCCGTCTCTGGGATAGGGCTGCTGCCTCTTGCTCCACTGGCGCCCCTGCCGCGAAGGCTCTCGCTGTCTGCTTCGTGGCCTCAGCCTGGCCCGCCGCGATCCACCGCGCCGCCTGCGCTGCGGTCGCCGCTGAGCCCGCGGGAGCGGGGGCCGGGGGGCCGCTGGGCCCTGCAGCCGCTGACGAGCAGGGTGCTGGCCCAGCGCCTGCCTGCCTGCGCCGCCGCCGTCGGTCCTCCTGCCTCTGAGCCTCGTGCCTCGGGCGAGGGCGGCGCCGCTGCGGACCCAGCTGCCGCCTCTCCTCTTGGCTGGCGTTGCGGCGGAGACGGCGCGGCGCCGCGCCTGCCGGGCTGGCCCAATCCTGCCCGTAGACGGAGGGGTCGTGCCTCGGGTGGTGCGGCATAGGCGGCTGCTGCAGCTGGCGGGGTTGGCGCCGCTGGCGTTGCAGCTGGTAGTGCTGCTGCCGCGGCATCATCCACATATGGTGCGGGTCGTGGAGCCATGGCCCAGCTGGTGGCATCATCGCCTCAGCCGTTGGCGCCGCGGATGCGGCTCCCTGCGGCGCAGCTGGGTCATCGACTGGGCACTGGCGCTGCAGCAGGCTCGCCTCCTCAAGTCGCCTCGGCGGCGGCCTCTCTACTTGCTGGCGCCTGCTTCCTCCGCGCCCCCTCCGATTTGCGCCCAATGCGCCAGTGCCTCGCTCAGCACCGCCGAGACACGCTCCACCTCTATATATGGATATTTCCCTCCTGGCGGGTCAACGCGCGTCTCTGCGAATGGAACTGAAGGGGCTGCGATTCCAGTGCCGTCGCTCGCGCAAACAGCGCGTTGATCCGATCCTGGGTCGGGTCCATCTCCGTAAAGCTGTACTTCAGCATGGCCACCTTCTGCGCGACCAAGTCTGGCTGCGCGACCCTCGTGCTCGCCGGTTGGGTCATCAGCAGGTCGAGGGCCTTGAAGTGCAGCAGTGCCTGGTGTCTGCGCGTCCGGACTGTTGTTTGGGCGTCTTGCGGAGGCTCGTACTGCGGTGCCCTCCTCGCCTTCCCCGCCGCGGCAACCTGCGCTGTCTTCATCGCCTTCGATGCGCTGAAAGCCACCGCGTTCCTCGAAGCCTTGCGCTGCGGCCTGTACATGGGGACGGACGGCTTCATGCTGTTATTTGCAGTGTTGGTGGGGGCAGAGGCGTTTACGCAAACGTTGCTGGCGACTTCCCTTTAGCTTCTATGCGAGGGGGTGGGCCAGCAGTCATAAGCAATGGGGGCGACGTCGACCGCAGTTTCCGTGGGGGTGGTGAGTTCAACATTTTTCATCTGAGTGGTGGGGGTTTTATATCCGATAACCGTGTGGGGGAGCTGCTCAGAGAGCTCAGGTCGGTAACTTGTGACTTCACTTGCTTGAATGAGACGCGGCGCAGGGGGGCCCCCCCCCGCGCCACATATCCACATATGTACCCGACGCCTACGCGAGCTCTCAGGCTCGCCGAGAGTATATCAGACGAGGGGGTCATTGGGGGGTCTATTGTTTTTGGTCTGCAGGTAGTGTTATGCCATTTTCGCCTCCCCCATGTTCTGCCTTCTTCTACCCCCTCTAAGTTGAATCAGAGTGCGTGGCGGTTGCCGTGGACAGGTTGGGCAAGGCTGGGTGGAAGGACGAAGCAAAGATCTTGAGGGATAGGCTGGCGCTCTTCTCCAACGCGGAGTCCCTGCACGTCTCCCATATCTTCGACTTATCGGACCAGCAGTTGGAGAATGCATTGGACAAGATGGCTGCCCATAACATCCTGTTGCCACCTGACGTACACAAGAGCATGCTGACCAGGGCCCGCAACGATCTTGTCAAGCTCAAGGTCGACGAGTACATGGCCAAGCAGTTCATCGAGCTTGTTTTCCCTTGGGCTGGGGCCCGGAACGACAATGGTGAGACCTACGACGTCAAAGCTCCGAAGGCTTCGCTGTGCACCACGGTGGATATGAACTGGAAGCTGCACTTCTTCCAAACGTCGGTTGCGAAGCGCGTCCTTGTGCCACTCATCAACAACGGCGAGGGCGGCGTGGCTGCGCTGCAGGCCTTCCTTGGGTTCGTAGACCCCTTGGCCGCGCACGTCGCGGATGCGGGCACCGAGGTGGGGTACGTAGAAAACCACTGCACGCACTGATAGTAGAGTACGGGCATGTATTTACCACGTACACGTATATGCATACCCGCATGGGTGTTACGCTACACCACATATGATATGTTACCTTAGAACCGCACGGCCACGCTACTACCCACACTGACGCTAATTCCCACTGTAGCAATCCCCATGCGTGAACCAGCACAATGCTACACCCAATGTGTACATCATGCTAGCGCGACCATTGCGCGCAACGCTATATTGGACACACTGCTCATGTATGTGCCTGCCGTTTTAACATGTTCCGTTGGACTCACCATCACATCCTCGCTATCGCCATCACCACCGTGATCGTCATCACCATTGGCATGGTCATCACCATCGTCATCAACGCCACCAACGTTATCATCGCCATCATCGTCAGCGCATTGCTCAAGGCCTGGTCCCAGAATCCTCCCAAGGTAGGCCACTGAGCTGTCCAGTTATGTGTTCCCTCACGGGCATCTTCCCATTGGGGTCTTTGGCCGACTCTTAGTTTTTAGAATAGGCCAGCGCACTTGCCAATGAGGTTCTTTTTTTGTTTCCTGGGGCCTCTGCCCATGGGGCGTGTGGGGGGGGGGGGGGGGGCTTCGGCAGATTTTCATTTTTATAAGATAGGCCAGCGCCCTTTTCAATGATGTTTTTTTTTTTCTCGCAGGCCTTTGCCCATTGGGGGCCGTTGGCCGATTCTTATGTTTTCGGAAAAGAAGGTCAGCCCACTTGCAATGATGGCGTTCATTTCGTGCAAGCCTCTGCCCATTGGTGGGGGGCGGGGGGGGGGGGGGGGGGGGGGGGGGACCGACTTTTAATGTTTAGGATCGGTCAGCGCACACTCCATTTTTTTTCTTTCTTCTTCCTTCCTTCTCTGTGCAGGCCTCTGCCCTTTGGGGGGCGGGGCCGTCGATTGATTCTTATTTGTTTTAGAGTGGGCCAGCGCACTTTCCAAGGCTGGTTGGCGTTCCCAACCACCCTTTGGCGGTGGATCCTCGTTTTGAAAAGACAGCGCCACGCGTCCTCACTCCCTCCTCCCCCCCCCATCCCCTCCTCCAGCCATTTCGGCGCGCCCTTCACGCGTTTCGCTGCCCCATATGGGTGCGGAGCCCCGCCGAGGGCATCAGTGGGGCCGCCCGCGTGCGTCGCGCACGCCCATTTCGGTACACCCCTCACACGTTTCGCGGCCCCATACTGAGCCCCGCCGAAGGCCTCAGCGGGGCCGCCCGCATGCGTCACGCACAACGATTTCGGCACACCCCTCATACGTTTCGTGGCCCCATATGGGGGCTCCACCGAAGGCCCCAGTGGGACCGCCCGCATGCGTCGCGCACGCAAATTCAAACACACCCCTCACGCGTTTCGTGGCACCATATGGAGCTCCACCGAAGGCATCAATGGGACCGCCCGTATGCGTCACGCACACGCATGTCGGCACACCGCTCACAGGCTTCGCGGCCCCACAGGGAGCTCCACCGAAGGCCGCAACGGGACCGCCCGCATGCGCCGCGCACACCCATTTTGGCACACCCCTTTCAGGTTTCGTGGCCCTATAGGGAACCCCACCGAAGGCCTCAGCGGGGCCGCCCGCATGCGTCACGCACGCCGATTTCGGCACGCACCTCACGCGGTTCGTGGCCCCGTGAGGAGCTCCACCGACGGCCTCAGTGGGACAGCCCGCGTGCGTCACGCACACACATGTCGGCACACCCCTCACACGTTTCGTGGCCCCATAGGGAGCCCCACCGAAGGCGTCCGTGGGGCCGCCCGCATGCGCCACGCACACCGATTTCGGCACACCCCTCACACGCTTCGTGGCCCCATAGGAAACCCCACCGAAAACCTCAGTGGCCGCGTTCGCATGTGTCCGCGTCACCCATCTCGGCGCGCCCCTCGCACGCTCCGTGGCCCTTCGTGAGTTCAGCCGAATGCCCCATTGGCAGCGTTCGCATGCGTCCGCGGCATCCATGCCGGCACATCCCTCGCGCGGCTCGTGGCCACATAGGGTGCCCCACCGAATGCCCCAGCGTCCGCGTTCGCATGCATCCGCGGCACCTATTTCGGCACACCCTCACGCGCTTCGTGGCCACATATGGAGCTCCACCGAAGGCCCCATTGGCCGCGTTCGCAGGCGCCCGCTGCGCCCGATTCGGCACACCCCTCACGCGTTGAGTGGCCCTCAAGGAGCTCCACCGAATGCCCCACTGGCCGCGTTCACGTGCGTCCGCGGCACCCAATCCGGCACGCCCTTCACGCGTTCCGTGGCCCTCAGGGAGCTCCGCCGAATGCCCCAGTGGCCGCATTCGCATGCGTCCGCGGCACCGACTTCGGCACGCCCCTCTCGCGATTCGTGGCCCTTGCGGAGCTCCGCCGAAGGCGCCAGTGACAGCGTTCGGATGCGCACGCGGCGCCCAACTTCGCGCACCTCTCGCGCGGTTCGTGGCCCTTAGGTGCCCCCACCAAAAGCACCAATGGGAAAAGTTGCGCGCGCCCGCGCCATCCATTTCGGCCCACCCCTCACACGGTTCGTGGCACCGTTCTGGGAATTTTCAATATTTCGTCCCACCTGCCCCGCGGTGCTCGGCCTCGCACGTGGTTGGGTCTTTCGTCGGGCTAACTTTTCTTGTTGGCCTCTGCCCATTGGGGGCCTTTGACCGTTTGTTATAACAAGCCAGCGCGCGGTCCAATGACTGCGTTTTTTCCTGGGGGCCTCGGCCCGAGGAGGGATGGGGCAGCATGCGCGCACAATTGCGAAGACGCCGGAGAGGGGCCATATGGACACCATTGCGAGGACGCCGAAGAGGGACAAGGGACAATTTGGACACCATTGCGAAGACGCCGAAGAGGGGCCACTTGGACACAACTGCGCAGACGCCGAAGAAAGACTGCACACTTTGGACACAATTGCGAAGAAGCCGAATCTGAACACTTTTGGACACAATTGCGCAGACGCCGAAGATGGACAATATACCATTTGGACACATTTACGAAGGCGCCGAAAAGGGATCATTGGGACGCAATTACACAGACGCCGAAGGGCGACGAGTGACAATTCGGACACCATTGCGAAGACGCCGAAGAGGGGCAAGTTGGACACCATTGCGAAGGCGCCGAAGAGGGACGCGGGACAACCTGGGCGCAATTGCGAATGCGCCGAAGGGGGACCATTCGGACACAATCGCGAAGGCGCCGAAGTGGGACGAGGGACCATTTGGACAAAATTGCGACGACGCCGAGGAGAGGCACCATTTGTACACACTTGCGAAGGCGCCGAAAAAGGGACCGGGACGAATGACAATTTGGGCATGATTGCGAATGCGCCGAAGGGGGACCATTTGGGCACAATTGCGAGGACGCCGAAGAGGGGCGATGTGCGATCTGGCCACAATTACAGAGACGCCAAAGAGGGGCCATTTGGGCACATGCGCGAGGAAGTCGGAAGGGGGCGAGAGACCTGTTTGGCACGAGCGCGAAGACGCCGAACAGGGGCACCATTTGGACACAGTTACCCAGGCGCCGAAAAGGGGCGAGCGGCAATCTGGAAGCACTTGCGAAGAAGCCGGAGAGGGACCATTTGGACACAATTGCGAAGACGCCGATGAGGGACGAAGGACCATTGGGACACATGTGCGAAGACGCCGAAGTGGGACAGTTTGGACACAATGGCGATGACGCGTCACCTTCGCGCGGTTCACCAGGCAATCGCTCGGTGACCGCTGAGGGTTGACCCTTTTCCCGCGCCGGCATGCCGACTTCGTGATTGCGAGAGAACGCTGCCCTTCAGACAGAGCCCCCCATTGTACTCATCACAAGACACCCGCGATGTTCGCGTTCAAGCCGCCCGATGAAACGCCTGGCATTGAACGCAAGCGCCAGATCTTCAGTTACCTAAGGGCGGGCGTCTCATGCCACCCAAGGGATTGGCTTCCAGCCCAACGAAAACCTGACGGCAACCGCGCGACCCTCTTGGTGGACATAGCCCCGCATGTTTGCGACCTTCGCTGAACATCGCCTTCCTCGGGTGGCTCGGCATCTGTTCCCCGAGCGACGTGACTTGAAGTCTGGGGGCAAGTGAGCGACGCGGGCCGATGCCCGCATTTCCCATGAGCAGGCGCTCCAGCCAACCGAGGACATAGTTCACGACGCCAACGCAACTCGCAAACGCTTAAACTTGCATCCTGGAGCTCTTGCCCCTTTCGACCTGCGAACTCCCAAACCGTTTTCCTCTTGGGCGCTGTAAGCATGAAAACGTCGACCACTGGATGCCTAAAGCCCTTCATCCTGGAACCCTTGCCTGGGCGCAAGGGGCGTCGCGACCTTGTTGCTCGCGCTACCATGTTGCATGCGTGTCGGTTGGTTGGGCGGTGATATGCAGTATTGGCATGTCGCACGCCGTGACAATCGTGGCTCTGCGCTCCAACGCGAGAAGCATTTCTTGCACGAGGACGCGCAGTTTAAGCTAGCCTAGCGTCGGATTGCGTGCTGTTTAGAATTCGCCTGACGGAGGGCCCAACCATATGCAGCTGCGAATACCGCATTGCGGGCACACCTTTCGGTGGAGCCCCCATATGGGGTCACGGGCCGTGTGAGGGGTGTGCAAACATGGTGCGGCGGCGCCATGGGGTGCCATCCCACTGGGGCCTTCGTGGAGCTCCCTATGGTGCCACGGAACGTGCGAGGGGGGTGACGAGATGTGTGTGTGTGTGTGTGTGTGTGTGTGCGTGCGTGACGCATGCGGGCGGCCCCGCTCGGGCATTCGGTGGAGCTCCCTATCGGGCCACGAAGCGTGTGAGGGGTGTGCCGAAATGGGAATGCGTGGCGCGCGCGGGCGGTCCCACTTGGGACTTCGGTGGGGCTCCATATGGGGCCACGAAACGTGTGAGGGGTGTGCCGAAATGCGTGTGCGTGACGCATGCGGGCGGTCCCACTGGGGCCTTCGGTGGAGCTCCCTATGGGGCCACGAAGCGTATGAGGGGTTTGCCGAAATGAGTGCGCGTGGCGCATGCGGACGGTCCCGCCGGGGCCTTTCGGTGGAGCTCCATCTGGGGCCACGAGGCGTGTGAGTGGTGCGCCGAAATGGGTGTGCGTGGCGCACGCGGGCGGTCCCACTTGGGACCGTCGGTGGGGCTCCCCACGTGGCCACGAAACGCGTCAGGAGTGTGCCGAAATGGGCGTGCGTGGCGCATGTGGGCGGTCCCACTGGGGCCTTCGGTGCAGCTCCCTATGGGGCCGCGAAGCCTGTGAGGGGTGTGCCGAAATGCGTGTGCGTGACGCATGCGGGCGGTCCCACTGGGGCCTTCGCTTGAGCTCCCCATGGGGCCGCGGAGCGTGTGAGGGGCGTGCCGAAATGGACGTGCGTAACGCATTCGGGCGGTCCCACTGGGGACTTCGGTGGAGCTCCCTATGAGGTCACGAAACGTGTGCGGGGTGTGTCGAGATGGGTGTGCGTGACGCGCGCGGGCGGCCCCACTGGGGCATCGGCGGAGCTCCCTATGGGGCCGCGAGGCGTGTGAGGGGTGTGCCGAAATGGGTGTGCGGAACGCACGCCCGCGGTCCCATTGGGGCCTTCGGTGGGGCTCCCCTTGGGGCCACGAAGCGTGCGAGGTGTGTTTCGAAATTGGTGTGCGTGACGCACGCGGGCGCTCCCACTTGGGACGGTCGGTGGAGCTCCATCTGGGGCCGCGAAACGTGTGAGGGGTGTGCCGAAATGGGTGCGCGTGGCGCACGCGGGGGGGCCCCACCTGGGCCTTCGGTGGAGCGCCCTATGTGGCCACGAAGCGTGTGAGGTGAGTGCCGAAATGCGAGTGCGTGACGCGTGCTGGCGGTCCCACTGGGGCCTTCGGTGGATCTCCCTATTGGGCCGAAGCGTGTGAGGGGTGTGCCGACATGGGTGTGCGTGACGCATGCGGGCGGTCCCACTGGGACCGTCGGTGGAGCTCCCTATGCGGCCACGAAGCGTGCGAGGGGTGTGCCGAAATGGGTGTGCGTGACGCATGCGGGCGGTCCCACTGGGACCTTCGGTGGAGCTCCCTATGGGGCCGCGAAACGCGTGATGGGGTGCGCCGACATGGGCGTGCGTGACGGAAGGCAGAGGCAAGGAGTGGGAGGAGGGGGAAAGGGGGGCAGCGAGAGGAGGAGGAGGAGTGAGGTGACGCGGGGCGCTGTCTCTTCATAACGAGGACCTGGCACCGCAGGATGGTTGGGAAAAAGGTGCTGCCGCGGGATACCGATGCGTTTGTACATGCGTGCGCATGCACTAATCGAAACGCGCGTGGGTGCATAGGCCGTGCGAACACTGTGTGACATATTTCACGTCTACTACCATTACTATGTTTATTAGTAATACTACTACTACTACTACTACTACGACTACTACTACTACTACTACTACTACGACGACTACTACTACTACTACTACTACTACTACTACTATTACTACTACTAGTACTACTACTACTACTACTACTACTACTACTACTACTACTACTACTACTACTACTACCGCGTATACTTCGTGCGTACGCGCACCCAGCACAACACATAACACATAACGCACACACATAGCACGCATGCACGCGTACCTCCCGGCACCCCGCAGCCCGGATACGATCCCCCCAAGATATCATGCCAGAGTTTGCTCGGTGCTTCGTCCCAGGGCCCAGGGCTTCTGGTACTCGTGGAGGGCGCGCCCCCCAGGGCTTACTTGGTGGGTCTCCCCCACTTCCTCCTGCTTGTCCGTCTGCTGCCCCTCCTCCTCCCCTCCTCGTTTTCCTCTCCTCTTCCTTCTCCCATGCCTCCCGCTCTTCCCCTGCCCCCCTCTCCGCCTCCTTGTTACCTCCCTTTCTGTTCATCCTCCTCTTCTTCCTCCTCCCTGTCGCAGGCAATCCTACCCTTTGCCAATTCCTTCCTCGTCCTTGGCCTCTGACACGTGTCCCCCACCCACTCTCCCACCTCCTCTCTCAGTTCACTCCTCCGCCCCGTTGGTTTTGGATGCCGCGTTCAGTTGAGCGTGGAAGAAGTGCCCTGCCTTTTCGATTGGGTGGGCTCCAGCAAGTACCTCAAGCAGCTCATCGATCCGTCCTTGCTGATGCCTGCTTCCGACGCCGACGATGAGGTTGACATCTCCCTCTGACACGTGTCCCCTACCCACTCTCCCACCTCCTCTCTCAGTTCACTCCTCCGCCCCGTTGGTTTTGGGTGCCGCGTTCAGTTGAGCGTGGAAGAAGTGCCCTGCCTTGTCGATTGGGTGGGCTCCAGCAAGTACCTCGAGCAGCTCATCGACCCGTCCTTGCTGATGCCTGCTTCCGACGCCGACGATGAGGTTGACTTCTCCCTCTTCCAGGGCGGCGCGGACACTGGCGGTGCCAGCAAGGGCGCCATCTTCCAGGCCGTTATCGGCGCCGCCAAAAGCAACGAGTAGCGGCTTTCCTTGTTCACCAAGGTGTCCAAGGCCGTGGGGGGGGGAGGGATCCAAGAGCACGTGCATTTGTACCTCCAGTGCAAGACGATGATCGCTGAGGTTACGCAGTCCTCTCGCCTGGATGTGCTTCAGGACATGGTTCAAAAGTTGCCCACTCTACAGGCCGCCTTGTTCAATAAGTTGACGAAGCCGTTGAAGGATCGTTTTCAAGCAGTGTTAGATGATGAAGTTAATGCGATGAAGGACGGTCGCAGGCGAAGACTGCGACTCTCGACGCAGCGCAGCGCACGCAGAAGGTGCCCTCCATGGCGTCCGACTGCTTCCCGTTCCACCAGGAGTTGGAGATTTGGATGGGTGAAGTGTCCGCCATTATGTTGCAGGTGCAGGCGGGCAGTGCGATGGACTCGTTTGTCAAGGGCCTCGCCGCTGTACACGACAACGCGACCGACGAGACCATCCAGGCGCTGGGCAAGCTTGCCGAGGATTCGCGAGGCGTCAAGATCGAGAAGGAGGACCACGTGAAGCAGTTCAAGTCCGCCGTGGACGCGGTCATTCAACATGTGACCACTGCCTTGGTACCAGTTTGCGCCTCTGCAGACGCCGCCTCAGGCAGTCGTGGACAACATCGAGATGTTGGACAAGATCCTCAACGTCGGCCCAGGCGACGACAATTACTTGATCACCGCCGGCGCTGTTCGGAAATGCCTGCATAGCTTGGTCCTTGCCGTTGACCACTTCGAGAAGATGCCGAAGACTGAGGACGGCTGGACGGTGCCGCCTAATGACATCATGCCTGCGCTCGAGCTGTACCGCTACACGAAGCAGCTTAAGCAAGACTTCGCAGCCCTCGGTGACCACCCGACCCCTCAGAGTGCAACAACAGTAGACCTATTCGTGAACAACGTCGTCCACGCCACTGGAGCGGTGCTGACGGCCTCCATCGAGACCATGCGCACCACGGACCTCAGATGCATTGAAGATCACCGTGCCTGCGTCGACACGTGGAAGGGCGGCGTCGAGAACGGCCGCTGGGACGAGGGCTTGGCCAAGCAGGACTGGGCCTCCGTGAAGAAGCAGCTGGGGGCCGCGATCGGCAATATGCCAGACCCCAAGAAGCTCTACAGCGACGTCGAGATTGTGCAGAAGGCCTCTCGGATTGCCCCACCCCCTAGCCCCAAGTCCCGAGAAACGGACGAGGAGGAGGGGGGGGGCGATGATGAAGGGGGAGCTGAGCCAGAGGACAACGACGAGGACGCGGATGGGCAGGATGATGAGGATGACGGGTGGGGAGGGGGAGGGGGATCAGGGCGTGGGGGGCGAGGGCGGGGGCGAGGGTGGCGACGCGGGGGATAGGGGCACGAGTGGGGGGAGTGCGGGATGGAGAGGATGGAGGGGGGATGCGGAGAGGGACCTGGGGAGGGGATGTTCGATGAAGGACAGCACGGAGTGCGAGAGGGAGGGTGGTGGGGGTGTTTGGGGGAGGGCGGGGTGACGGTTGCGGAGAGGGTGGGCAATGACGGGGAATGGGGGTGCGGGGGGAACGAGGGAGGCGGGCCGCGAGGACGAGGAGTATGGATGCGAGGGGGGTGGAGGGGAAGACAGCTTTGCGGGGAAGGGCCTCCCCCGCAAGGCCGTCGAGCGCGAGAAGGAGCGCTCCGACAGTTTCGGCCTCCAGGTGGACGGCCGTTTCCAGGCAATCACCAAGATCGCAAACGAAGCATTGGTTTCGTATGTATCGGGCGCGCTTGCATTCCACGTGTGCAGCTCGAGCGCCGACAAAGTCACGCGCCGCAGCTCCGTCATCAAAGACGTGGGCGTCCTGCGCCGCGCAGGATTGGATCCGAGCGCTGAGCTCCACAGCGCGCCGTGGCTGCAGGCCGAGAAGGCCAGGGCGTTGAAGTGAGTTCTGGACGTGCGGCGTTTGGCCGCGCGATGCGAGCGCCCTCTCCCTCGGGCTCGGAGTGAGCTGAGGAGGAGGAGAAGGAGGGGGGGGGTGAGGAGGAGGGAGGAGGAGGACGGGGCGGGAAAATGGGGGGTGGGAGGGGAGGGGGGAGGAGTGAGACACGAAACGCGTTCGTGGAAACACGTTCGAGGAACTGCTCCGAGGTCGGTGCGGCGGCGCTCGCCTGATCGCCCGCAGAGGGCCGCAAGCGCGCTCAGGAGACGAGCCGCCAGGGAGCGTGCGAGCCCGCGCGCCTTCGGCGGAGTGAAACCTCCCTCGCCCTCTACTCTTCTCCCCCTCAAGGCTGCCGCCGCTTCCGCCCCCCCCCCCCCCGTGTCTTCTTGGAGCCGCCTTGGGCCTCCCTTGGAGGCACTTCGGTACCATCCTGGAGCCATATTGAGACCATCCTGGGACCATCTTGGACGCAGGATGCCGCCGCCTTCCCGTCGGAACAATATTGGAGACATCTTGGGCCCATCTTGGAGCCATCTTGGACGCAGGATGGACCTCGCCCTTCCGTAACATGGGCTGCGTTCGCTTGAATCAAAAACGTTGAGTCGTGTAGGGCAATTGCTCAACAGTCTTGGCTGCCCCGTGCCAGGGTTTTCGGAGTCAACTAGGAATGTGCGGCGCCACCTTCCATTCCACGCGACTTGTCCGATTGACAGCGTGCGGAACACGACTGGTCGGGATTCGGATAGAAAAACACACATGTTGACGCGCAGTTTTCCCGAAAAAGCGGGCCTCGCACACTAGTATTCTTTCCGCAACACAAAATCAAAACACAACTGTTCTCACGCTGTCAGCATTCGCTGTCACATGACCACCAGCATGACTAACACCACTACTGTTTTCAAAAATCAACTTGGTAGGGCCTCTAGGACCAACCCTCCTACTTAAGACGCGCGTGTTGAAGCATTCGTTATCGTGCCGACGCTGTTTTGCGCGCGCGACAACTGCGTTGGCGCGTCGGAGATGCGCGGGGGGCTCGGTGCCATGCCGCAGCGCACCTTCAGGTGGCGACTCGCCTCAGGTGGCAGCCTGGGCGAACGCTCCAGCGTTGGCTCGGGAAGTCCACGGGCGCAACGAGCCGTGGAGCACCTGCTCAACGCGTGCGTCGTCGCGACTGTGATGCTAGAACCCAATTGCAGGACCGCGACGTCGCCTTCCATTGTCAACGCCAAGGTCAACTTCGACAAATGGTGCGAGCGCCACAGGGAAGACGTCCCGCGCATGACCATCCCTGGCAAGGTCGCCGGCGCGCGCGACTACCAAAGGCGTCTCTTTTTTGGGACAACCTACGGGCGCGTGGGCAGTCCAGATTGGCCCCGCGGACAACCCTAGCTACGCGCAGCGTCATTTGCAAGCAGATGATTGACCAATGCTTGACAGGGTTGAGGGATTCCAAGGGCACCCTTGTCCGAAAACTCAGAGATATGATGGCCAACAACAGAGCAGTACTTCAATCAGTTGAAGGTGATGTGTACGGGCCATCACGAACATGCATAGCCGCGCAAAGCAGAACTGTCGCGGGCGGCCCAGTTCACGCCGAAGAGTGCAGCCCCGAAGCGTAGACGCGGTTAGGATTGCAAAGGACTTTCGTGTCTCTGGTCGCGTATTTTCTGCGGGGCTAACGCGGGCACGTGCGCTCGTGGTCAATCGCGCCGGCTCCGACTAAGACGAACCCAATGTGCCGCGACAATCCGGTGGCGCCATTATCCGCCCAAAATCTGGCGGCCCGGATTGCCCCGCGCAAGTCGATGCCGCGTAGATGAACTCGCCGAGACACGGCCGCAACCCGCGACGGCACCGCTGGTTTGTCAAGGAACCTCATTATTGGGACTGTCCAAGCTGCACACAGAATTGCGGAAGCAACGGGCAGGGCTACTTGCTAATGCCAGGCAAATGTCGGTTTGCCGTGCCTCGGCAATTGCCGGAAAGCTACGGCCAGGGGGCCAAGGCCCACCGGCTGCGCCAGCGCCAGGTCCAGCGCCAGCTGCGCGAGCAGCAGTGCCCGCGCAGCCCAGTGCGCGGCCGCGTGCGCCACTGCCCGCGCGCCGAAACCCTGGTGGCGACGACCCAACAGCAGGCGCCAGCAGCTACGGCATGACCTGAGGAGTTCACGAGCATCGCAGTGGTGACGCGCGGGGAAGCGGCGCTGGCAGCTTCCACGACCATCAGCGAGTCGCAGGACAGCGTGGGCGTGAACAGAGTGGCGCAGCACCGCCGGCACAGCCGCGGGCTGAAGCGCGGCCGCGTGCGAGGCGACCTGGCTGGGCGCGCTTCGACATCCAGGCGAACCGTCAATATCTACGTGGCTACAATCCGGCACTTGTCGTTATTGAATTTCGGCGACTCCACCTGCGCCGGCTTTGCGCCTCAGGGCCGAAGTCGCGCGTGATCCTGTCAAAGGTGGAGGGGGCAGCGTGCGCCTCCACATGATCCAAGGGCATATGTGATTCATGTCGCGAGTGTCGAGCCTGGTAAAACTTGGCAACTTGGCATCTTTCAATTTCCCAGGTAATTTCGACAAGGGGGTCGAAGGCGACTTCATGTTCTATGAACAAGTAGTTTTTTTTTCGTTCCACATGACCGGCCGTTGCGTCCGACGGGCGGCTGGTCGACGGGTAACCGACAAGGCTATGCGCACAATCCCAGGCGCCTATCGCCAATGCGTGCTGCATGGCCCAGCGAAAGTATCTTCTCTGACGTTGAGGTCGCCTTAAGCAAAGAGGCCGCCAAGGCAATCCTGAAGGCCAAAGGCTCGAGGCTTCGCGCCGGGGTCCGCGGCCAGCGTGCCACCGCCATCGAAGCGCGCAGCGGCGTCCTTCGAACTGCCCTGCACGTCATGGGTGATGAGCTTAAGAGACTTAACATTCCCCTTGTCCTCCCTGAACTACTGCACGGGGGGTCGTCGGTTTGCAATGCTTTCGCGTACTGCAGCGGCGCATCTCCACCTCGAGATCTGCATGGCCCGCGGCCTGCTTGCCCCCCAAACCTGCTAGTGACAGATCGCGGGCAAGGCGCGGACAGGCCCAATCATAACCGTGAACGATAGGTCAGGGATGCAAGCGCTGAGGCCATCAAGCAGGCCACTGCAGTAGACGAGTCCAACCGAGCCTGGCGTGCCAAAACAACTCCGGCTGGGCAGCAACGCGATCGACCAGGTGAGCTCGCGGACTACCGCCGACCGATCGCCGCGACGGACGACTGGGGAGGATGGAATGGACTATGCGTGGTCATGCGTAACCACCCAAACCGAGGTCAGGCAGCATTTGAGGTCGGCGGCCGAGAGGTTCTGGCGCAGTGCCCAGACCCACGTCGCATTCTGCGCGTTGCTGCCCTCGCCCTCGAGACCGGCTGCGACGCGACAGCCGCGCGCGCGGTGCTAGCCTTCATCGCGAGTTTGCCCGCGGGGAAACCTGCCGCGGCTTTCCACGACGTGCCCGCCGTGCAGTGGCGCCCGCGGATGATCGCGGCGAGCAAACTTTCGCCGTGGGTGCATTTAGCCCTGCCGTCTCTCTCGTCAGGAACTATTGCTGGATCGAAAATGTGGCGACTGCATGCCGGGCTCAAAGCTTCCACCGGCTACCCGCGGCGCCGCGTGCCAGTAGTTGTGCGCGCGTGCATTGCGATAGCGATGACAGCCGAGGGCTCCGTGACTACGAATCCGAGGGCGCAGCCCCGAACGTGCCCGACGTCGCTGGATCCACCCACGCACGAGTCATCAAACGCCTTATGTCTTCAAGGCCCTTGGCAGGTTTCGACGAAGACCTGCCCAAATTCGAGGACCTGGCGGACGCGCCGCCATCGGGCGGGCGCGCTCAGGAGTGGGCCAGCGAAGTCTGAAACTGTCGACACTTTCGCGGGCCGCTGGGGGTGCCAGCACAGTGGGGCCCCACGCAGATTCCAAAACAGACCTCGGCATCTCTGGGGGGGGCTGCGAAGTGTGAACTTGTCGCCGTTTTCGAGAGCTGCTGGGGGGGCCCGCGTAGTGGGGCCCACCGTGGGGCCGCGCGCGGGCCCACGGGGGACTTCGTTTCCATGGGGGGCTGCGAAGTTTGAGAATGTCGCCACTTTCGAGGGTTGCTGCGGGGGCCAGCGCAGTGGGGCCCCACGCAGACCAAAACGGGACTACCTCGCCATCCGTGGGAGTTAGGGCTGCGAAGTGTGAAATTGCGGCCGCTTTCGACGG